AGATGCGATATGCACGCAATCTCTTTACCACGACCGAAAATGCTTGAAGGGAGGGTTGAAGTTGCCAAGGGAGCGCTCGGTCAAGGACCTCTGTTCCGACTAGTCAAGTTGTGAAAAAGGGAGAGAGAGAGAGAGTTCGTGCGCGCGCGTGTATTTAAAACTGGAAGGGCAGAACGAAGAGAATATGATGAGAAATCAATGTTGGGATAAGGGCACAGAACGTTATATAATTGCCAACGATGGAACGAGTACATCCTAGTAACGACAATTCGGCATTCTCGTAATTTTCAGTTCTTAATTTTATCGAAAATACTACCTCAAAATACGCCCTAATAAACTTGTGTAAGCTTTCTTTTTTTATTTTTTGATGATAATGTGCGAGATGCTTGTACAAACGGGAATTTGAATTACGCAAAGATGATCAACCCCAATTTTGGTAGTTGCATCCTTTTTTTTTTTTTTAAGAATACGTGTGAGGAGACTACGTATCGATAAATCATAATGTGAACTTCTTTTGATGTTTGATAAATTATCCACGGTTACACGTAATAATAAACTTACATTCTGTATAAACATTTGTTATTTTACAACGAGGCTATTATAAAATCCGAGCAAGACAATTTCTCTAGTAGCTCTTAGTACCGCTAATCATCTTACCGAATCTCTCTGTTCTCAAATAATTTATTTATAGAATTTGTCTAAAGTGACAAAACAAATGTCTTACAAAATCTAATCTAAGACAGCCGTAGATTATCAATGTATAAAATGTAATTTCAAACACATGAAAGTATCGTTACTCTACTCAATGGAGCAATGAAAAATAGATGAAAATCATCTAATGATTGAATAACGAATGCAGTCGAATAAAAAGTCCCGTCTTATTGAACGAAACTTTAACACCTAAAACTTAACAATATAAATAGAAAAATTGTTTAGTTTTACGAGCTACGTTGCGAGTACACGGCCAAGTGCATACACGATAAAAGGCTTTTGCGGGACTAAACGACCTCGCCTAGCTTACGAGGAGCGAGGTGTGTACCGTTGCATCTTCGTAACCGTCGCGTACACCGGTGCACTGCAGGATTCCATCAACGTCGCCGACGAGGAGGGCAACAACAACGACGACGACGACGACGACGACGACGAGCGACGACGATGACGACGCATGTGGGTTAATCGTTGACCCTTCTGGCAGATCATTGCTCTTTTGTTCTGCAAGGATACCAAGGCAAATGTAGAGGGGAGAGAGGGGTTGAAAAATGGGACATACATGTCGATGTTAGGAGCGTTATAGAGCTGTATCGAATGCTAATTGCTAGTGGCCTTAGAAGTTAGTGGGATGGGATTGTAATTCATGGAGAATGGCGACTTTCGCAGTGCGGAATAAAGGCTGACATTTCCGACTAAGTAATTTAGAGCTCGTGGTTATTATTCTTAGTTTCGGGCTTATTATTTTGAATTTACGGTCGGTATGCGCGTGTACATTAAATACTGATAAACGAGCATCTTTCCATTAGCCAGTGTCAAGAGAAGAATATCGGTTGGAAGATAGTAGAGGAGAGCGGATATCGAGGAGCGTGTAATGATGTTTTTTCAGTGGGAATTGTTGGAACAGCCACGAGCTAAAATTAGTCAAGGATAACCGACTAAGTTGACGCCCGACGATAAATAGACAAAATACGCTGCCGATTAAAAAGAAGTCAGCAGTAACGAATTATACGCTCGTTAATGAGAGATGATCGTCAGCCAAGAAAATATTATATAGTCCACTCGTGATCCGCTAGTAATGAAACTTGTCTATCTCGTCCGTATTTACGCTCAAGTGAAATAAAAGCACGAGATATTGGTGACCTCTTCCTTCCCTCCTTCCACCCTCCCCACCCGTCCCGTCACTCCCGGTCACCCCGACCGTTATCCGACGAATGTTCTGGATACCTTCCTAGGTAGCTTGGCGGCCGGGTTCGACCCCGGTTCGCCCGGACGGGGGCAGCAACCCCGCTCGTGGCCTACAGCAAGACGGGTGTGTGCGAGCGCACGCACGGGGCATCGATCGCGGGCGAATGCAGCCGCCACCGCCGCCGCCGTCACCACGTGCATCCCCCCAAACGGGTCACGGGGGTCGATCACCTCCTACTAAGCGAGGCCACATGTATACATCAGTCGCCACCACCACCACCGCTGCCGTCCGAGAATCGTACGCTCTCTCTCTCTCTCTCTCTCTCTCCAACATGCAACGACTAACGACTGCATGCGCGCGAGAACTACTTGCTCCCCCCCTTCCGTCATCTCGCCGCGTTATTCCGACCCACGAGTATTTTACCCGGGAGGGTGAACGACTTTTCACGCTTGTTTGTTTTTTATTTTGCCGGGTATTAGCCTCGAACAGATTTATAATTAGCGGCCGCGTTTACTTTTGGAGCGACCGCGCGAGGTAATGATTTAATCGAGGCGATTTTTGCCGAAGCGTATATCGATCGCGATCTTAAAACCTAATCAAGAAATTCAACATCGAAACTCATGATTTAAATAATAATAATAATTTAGCGGCTTCTTGTTGAAGAAGATTCGGTCAGAAGCTCGAATAAATTGTAACGAGACATCAGGCTAAAGGATTGCGACTTGCTGCCGACTTATTATGAACTCAGGTTATTAATGGGACTTATTTTTAGGGAATGTTATACGCCGTTGTGGAGGTGTAAACGAGTTTTTCGCCCACGCGAGACTTTTCACACTCTCACCTACGATCGCATAATAGTGCTTATGCGATTAATGAAGCCAGTAGAAATTGTTGTATTTTGATCGACTGGTAAGTAATTTGGTGCAGACGAATGGGAAAATATTCAATTGCGTTCGCGACTGTAATGCAAGAAGAATATCATAACAAGCGTGAAAATGGATTGGACTAGCTCGCACAGGGTGGACAAGTCGATCTTCCGGGTCTCTCGTCTCCGAAACCTCGTGCCCGCAGTTCACGAATCGACTAATTTGTTACGTAAAGGGTTTGGGCAGAATCGTGGGAGGAGGTAAATGGTAGACTGTACAAAAACGGCGCAAGTTCTAAAAAGTCATCTTGATCTAGGCAGCGGCCTCGGCACCGTTCATCCATCATTGCACGAATCACTGTATGTCTAGTACTGGATGGGCGATTTGAAGAGGAGAGAAAAAGAATGAGTGAGATCGGAGAGGGGGTGAGGCTGTATAAGAGCGCGGGATAGGCGACGGCCGCGCGAGGCCAACGACCGGAGCGCGGTCGCGTGCGCAAAGAAGGAGAAGCAGAGTGAAGAGAGAGAGAGAGAGAGAGAGAGAGAGAGCGAGAGAGAGAGAGAGAGAGAGAGAGAGAGAACGTGAGCACGAGTGAGAGGGAAAGAAGAGAAGGTGAATGTGAGAGTAGAGGGGAATGCGCGGAGACAAGGTACCAAGAACGTACGAAACGAAGTAACGGTGACGTACACATGCGAGCACTCGCGCATGCGCCTATACAATAACAACAACTACTACTACTACTATTGCTGCT